CAAAACAATATGACAATGGTAATTTAGGTTTATAAAGAGATCAAATTAGAACACTATTGCCATCTATTGAAAACTGAGATTGCGATGTTCCACATCTGTAGGTACGCCTCAGTCCTTACATTGGCATTATAATGACGCAACGTAACCTAGCATTCATTGAAACGCGGTCCATAACGGAGAAAATTGCTTTTAAGAAAATTGTATTTAGAGCGTTTCGTTCATCAAATCCCATTAAAACTTTATCCATTAAACATTTTACTTTTGGTAAAAATACTTTCATCTAACGTTAAAGTTAATAATGGTATACGATTTCAGCTTAATTTCAAACAACTTGATGTTTCTGAACGTTCTTCATGATGTTTTGAAATTAATTAAATATCAAATTCTTGATTACCTTCATTTCATTTATTTTATTTTTACAGAATTCCTAATAAGCACCTTTAAAATCCAATATGCGATCTTTAAAAGCTATTTTTGTGCGAAAACAAGCTGAAACTGACTTTATATCAATTTAAAGGTAAACCAGAAAAAGCTACATATTCCAAATTAGTTATAATAATTTATTATACCTTGTAGTGGTCTACGTGAAATAAGTGTGAATTATGGTTAACTCAAAATAGCCGTTATAGTAAAAGAAGGTGAAGCAAATATAATTTTATTCCATACTATCATCTATGGCACCGTGGCACCACGCGGCGCGGGATAAGTGTAACTGCTGCTTCAGCTCATAAAACAACACGTCCGACACACGAAAGAGAGTCCGATTTTTGTTTATGCAGTAAATAAATATTCTGTTTGTGATCGAAAAGGAAATTCCGCGAGCTTCTATTTAACTTTTCCCATTATGCTTTTTATGTTCAGATAAAAATGCTTCGCCGCGCGTCGCAAAGGATATAAAAACTGTTCATATGATACCATTTGTATGCTTAAAAGTAAAGCGTCTAGCTTGAATTCCTAATACATAGAAATATAACCATAAAATATAGGTAATAAGTTTTGTATATTAATATATTTGATCAATTTTGCATTCAGTAGGGGCAAAGTGGGTTTTTTAAGTAATTTTCATTAAGAAAGTTTTGTATATATTCAGTGTTCAGGATACACGGGCCTATTTATTTGACATTCGATATGCTATTAGAATAAAATATTTTTTATACTTAATTAATGCTAGATGTATTACAAAAGCAACCTTCAAAAACGAATAATAAACCTAGTAATTTATTTTGAAGCTTACAACAAAAATAATAATCACAAAAGATTTTAACTTGAAATAAATTCTTGAATGCAAAACCTCTTGTTAATTTTGTAACATTTATGATATTTTATTAATTTTACATTCACAATGCTGTACTGAAAAATAGTCTTGATGAAAAGTTCTTAAGAAATCCATTTTGTCCCTGGCACTATGAGATGAGACTCGAACCCATGACCTTTCGCAATCCGGACCACTGCTCTAACTACTGAACTACCCAGGACCTAATAGGACCGACGAATTTTTAAGCACTTGTTAGTGTTAAGCTTTTAAGTGGATTTTTTAAGCATTTTTCATCATGTGTATTTGTAAGATTTATTTAGAATAAATATTTAAAAGGTGGATTCAGTTCATTATTTAAACAACAAAAAAAATTTGGTTCAAATCCCGACTAAAGAATTTTATGGTAATCTGAGTCTCTGTACGTACAGTATACAACCCGTCAGGTTAGGCAAAACTGTTGTAGTACATTGTGGGTAGAGACCTGACGTACAGTCGTGTATATATTCAAGATCTCGTGAAAACCACAAAGCTGAGCTGTCGCTTGGTGAATACCAAGAAATTTAATATGAAGAAACATTTTCTCGTTTTTTGGCTGTTTCTATGTGTTTGTTATTTCATCCCCGGATTCACTCTCTGAGAGTTGCTCCTATTAGTGTATAAAGTGTCTTTTTTTTTCTAGTCTATCAGCCAGTTGTAAAAACGACCATTAAAATTGTCATTAGTTTAAAGCGACATTACCCACACAAATTCGTAAGCGTCATTAAACCTTAATGGACGTTAGTGCAACTGACCGTATGCCATGTTATTGGCATAATTCTTACAAAAATACTGTGAATAATTTTTTTAAACAATTTCAACAAAACAAGAATATGATGAATGTATGTATGGCCGTTACTTCGTGGTTAACTATTAAGGTTAAAAGTTCTTATTTTTTTAAGTGTTTAGTACTTCTCTTAACTCAGGGAATTCTTTATTTTTTTTAACTATGTGAAAAAATCAAAGCCCATGCAGTGTTAAATATAAAAGGAAAACTGCCATCTGAGTAGGTTTTTAAGTTAAGGATAAACGTTCCATAATATATACTTAAAAAATTGTACAGGAAAAAATTGTAAATAAATCTACAGATAATATAATAACTTGGATGAGGTTTATTTTCACGCCATTTTATACACCATTAAACACCATTGAACACAACGATTGGATTCGATGTAAAACAAATTTGTTTTCTTATTAAATTTGTTAAATTTGTTTTCGATTATTAAGGATCGGAAAAATAACCATTTTGACATTGTTAAGATACTTAATTTATTTGACATTCCTACTTACAATGATTTGAACTGCATGATTTAGACCTTTATTTTTAATTTAATATGCTTATTGTAAAAGACTTGCCGAGTGTAACCTTCTGAGTTATATGGCCAATAAATTATTTGATTTGATTTGATTAATTCATTCATTTATCTAAGCTCACTTTCTACCATAGTGATATAATAGGTAAAAACCGTATTGCAAATGAAGCGCGCTAACCACTGTACCATTATGAAAGACTTCTGTTTAGAAACGTTTTGTGCTGTTAAAATTTTCTTGTAATCTAACTTGTGAAATACAGCTATAACTGACTGCTAACCTGAGAATTTGTCTTCTAAGTTATGAAAGGCACATTATATTGTTTCATTTTTCCTGACATCAGCTTGTGTTGTCTAAAAATGTAGATAACATATATTTAATATATTAGGTCCATACATATGAAATTGGCGCTTTGTCGTACTGGCCACTTTAATCACACATTTCTCCACCTTGGTTTGGAATTCCAAGTTCAAATTTATACAGCCATTTACACATGCATTTGTGTTTCGTTAGGCGGCATTCATTTGTTTTTTTTTCCTTCTGTTTGTCCTATTTACGTCAAGCAGTATAAAAAATGGAAAACTTGAAATATCGTGTTATTTACGAGTATCTACGAGTTCCACCGTGGTACCAGTGCTGCTGAAACGGCTCGAAGGGTTAATGATGTGTATGGCGGTTGTATCGCAAAAGAAAACTCAGTGCGTTTTTGGTTCCAACGTTTTCATTCTGGAAATTCAGACCTGCAGAACAAGCCCCGTGGACGGCCGGAGACCCAAGATAATAATGAAAAATAGAAGGGTATTGTGGAAGCTGATCCATTACAAACCACGTAGACTAGTGCCGGTTTCGTTCATTACAGTTTTCTGAAATCTGGCCAGACGTTTACGGCAGACGTGTATTGTCAGCAATTGCAAACCATGCTGGAAAAACTAGCTGTTAAACAACCAAGGCTGATTAATCGCTCTACGCCACTGCTACTTCACGACAATGCTAGACCACACACTGCACAACAGACGGCTACCAAAGAACAATTGGAATGTCTAAGACATCCACCGTACTTCCCGGACCTTGCTCCAACAGATTACCATTTTTTTAGAAATTTGGATAACTTCTTGCAAGGAAAATAATTCAACTCCGATGATTATTAATTCCCGTCCGAATGGTTTTTTTAGTTAGGGGATCAATGAACTACATATGAGATGGCAAAAGTGCATAGATAACAATGGTTTATACTTTAATTAAAGAAATATATTATATGAAAAAATATTTTTAGTTAGTTAAAATATTTATAGTTCCTCCCATACCAAACACCAATTTCATATGTAAGGACCTAATATTATATATCCAGAGTAAAACATTACTTTTTATCCGTATTTTATATTGATCCTAAACCTTAATAACAAAATTTATATTAACAGACATTCAGGCTATGAAAATTTATTCAGTATTGTATAGATGGCATAAAAGTATCATTAATATAAACCTGTCATTTTCCACTACGTAATTTCACAATAGCATGGAGGCGACGCCTCAAATTATAAAGTTGCACGAATTGAGTGATGAATTCTCGAATACAAGATTTTATTTCTGTTCTGGGAGTTGACATTGCAGGTGATAGTTAAAACCGTAGCATACAATGTTGAATAAAATATAAAGTTGAATTGTTTTTTAGGGCGACAGACGTCTATATTTATTAATTACTCACAATGGTACTATAAAATGATTCTTTTTTCATTGAATTTTATTATCGAAGTTGAACATGTGTTTTCTGTAAATAAATTTTTAATATGCAAATTGTTACTTATTATAATCAATTAAATTTCTATAGTTTACATCTTGAATCTGATTTTGAAGTGTGTTATTTTCTTGAAAACGTAATTATCAAACAATAAAATCATTCATATAACTATGCAATTTGCCTGAAAACAAAGATAAACGTAGACACAAGCTTTAGATAATCTAAGTCACAAACATATAACTCGTACGAACGTAACGTCTGAAAGTGGTCTAAATAGCCCCAGGTCCTATTGTAATACATTTACGTAACTCTACTTATGTAACTAACAATTAGAGCTGATAAGATTATATTTTATTATCAAATATTTTCTCTTATTATTTTTTTTTAAATATGGTTGCACGTCTAAATGCTGAGTCTAACTTGTTTTTTCTTGTATCCAAGTTTTCTAAAGAAGACTACTTCCTAGCTTGAATCATGGGTGTTGCTTTTTAACGTGTATTATGGACATATATATCATATTAAAATAGTTTTGCGACAAAAAAACAACCAGTTCCTGCCGACTTTATTGCATGAAGGCTAGGGTGTCCCAGCCTACAAGGGGTAATTTTATTTTTTCGAATTTCGGAACGCATACCCTCTATTTTTTTTCCATTTGACTCCAAAAACTTAAATATAAAATATTATTGCGATCGGACAACAATAACCCGTGCCGACTTGACGTCAAAGTTTTTAGTTTAAAAATTAGTATGGAAGCTATAAGGAGATTGTAGAGTTTATTGTTTATTTCAGTAAAATAAACACAAATATAATATTTAATGTTTATTTGTAGTAAAAGAAGCATTAACCATTAAAGTTTTTTTTCAAAGTTAGCTTTTTACAGTCAGGATATATGTTTCTGTGTTCTTGTACGCAACGTAATAAAAATTGTTTTTGCTCCTCTTCAACAGTGATTAAACCATGAAAATCTTGCATTAATTTAATTGCTCTTTCTGCCGTATCATTAACTGCTCTCAGTGTCAGCAGCTTCTTTTTAGCTTGTTGGAACGAATCATCATTTGACTAAGAAGATGGGTTTTTGTTCAGAAAACTATCATCAATTTTGAATCGATTAAATAAGAACTTGCTTTTGACAGAGATGAAGTCATCGATGCTTTTCTCTGAAATCAAAATAGAATGAACGGTTAATAATCATATTCAGGCTCGTCTTAAGCACGACAGGCGCCCGGGTGCAAGTAGTGCTCTGGCACCCCCCAGCCCACTTTTTACACATATTTATATTAGAAACCATCATCGGCGCGGCGCCACCCAACGCGCGGCACCCGTGTACATTGCACACCCTGCACTATAGGTTAAGCCGCCCCTGATCGATCATATTGTATTATTTTTATATTAACAATATTACTATTAATCATAGAAGAAAATTAAAGCATAATTTACAAATAAGACATACCATAAAGTGGGCCACAAAGTTCTTCTTTAGATGCAATGTATCGTTTAATATGGGCTGATGGGTTTTCTTTAGCTAAGTTAGCAACCATTTTAACTTTCGTTTCTTGATCGACTTCATCGTCAAATAAAGACAAAACAGACGCTTCATCTGTCAAGTACCATAAATGCTGGCAAAACTTCTGCAAAGCTGCTTTAGAAATGCTTTTGTCTATTGATTCGTAAGCTTTCATCGACTTCAAAAAGCACAAATCCTGATGTGGTGCTTTTACTGCTAAAATGCATTGGAGCCAGGGCTTGACGTAGGATGTCACGATAAACAAACATACGTCCAACAGTGCTGCTTTATCCCTATTTGAAATGTTGAACTGGGAGCTCAGTAATGATATTTTTAATGAATAAATGGCTCTCGCCATCCATCGAGCTTGGTGCATAGCACCTGGAGGCCGAATCTTAAATTTCTTCTCTGTGTCTCCACCGAGAAATATAATTGATAGCTCAATTAATTCGCGATAGTCGTCTCTAGCTATTTCTTTTATCAATTCAGATCGGTAGAATTCTATGAGTTTATTAATTTCTGAATCATTTAAACAAGATAGTTTTTCTCTACAGATTTCTATTTTCTGGGCATCGACATTCTTCCAGTTTTCTCGGAACTTTTTAAACAGCGGAATGTCTGGGCTTGTAGTTACTTGACTGATTTTCACTTCAAACACACTTTTTAAAACCAATTCGTAGACATGGTGACGGCATGCAAAAACAAGCATTTCTCTACCCAGTTTTTGTTCAAGAAGCACACATGCACCATTAATATGGCCTGTATTTGAAGCAGTAGTATCACAACAGAGAATCTGCACTCTGTCTTCAAGATTCCAGTCGATAATGGCATTCCAAACTGCCTGTGCCTGTTCGCTTCCTGATGAATTAACCAATTTTGGCACAGCGATAAGTTGTTCATTATTATCATATGATATAACTATCGGTAGACGTTCTTCTTTAGATTTACGTGCATCTAAAGCCGGCAATAGTTTGCCATCCCAGTGGACAGTTACCGTATCCGGGACCTTGTATCTGAAATTAATTTTTATAGCGTTAGCCCGCTTTCTTCGCATTTCTGTACGAATTCTATGGATTGAGGACTTGCTTATAGGAAATTCATCCGTATTATGCCCTAGTGCCTCAATAGTAGCTTCAATAATAAATACAGAATCTCTCACACTTAACTGACACCGATCAAGTGCGGCAACTAACTTCGGAGTCATGAAATTTTTTCGTATACAAATTTTATCTGGTTTGGAGGACATACCACTTGAGCTGGACTTATTTTCTTGTAAAACTGTTATTTCAGAATCAGAAGATGATTTTCTTTGTGGATGTTCATAAGATGATGTTGATGGTGCTAATGATGAAAGATATTTAACACGTCGCTTTTCCTCCTCAATGTTTCTAAGGCGCGTCTTTTCTTCTTTTTCTGTTAATTTTTTGTCCACTCCGGCTAAGTGACCAGGCCGACCTGGTTCTCTTTGGCGCTGCAAGAAAACTCTATCTTCATTTATTTTTATTAACTGAAGCGCATCGACATGAGCAATGTCAAACAGATTGTTTAAGTTTGAAAGAAATTCTTGTCGACGCTGTTTAAATACATCTTGTGTTTTTTTCGAATTTTTTTGCAAATCTCTCCAAATTTGATATAATGAAACTAGTTTCTTAACACAATTAGGTAATGATTTAGTCGGTATACGTGCCTTTTCCCAATAAATAATGCACTCACGAATAGTAAGATTTGCACTTTCATTGATACTTAAATTCACTTCACGAATATTATAGAACAGAACTGCCAGTACTTGTCCATTAGAGGGAAGTTTCGATCCGGTGATTTGATATTTTATGTCGCCTATTAAAAAAATCTCCTTTTTCGAACTCCGTAACTCTACAGACATATTGACTGCTCAATAATAATGCGATTACTAATAAAACAAACAAGTAATAACATGCAATCAGTGCGAGATTTCCGTATCGCCATCGTACATCGTACAAGTACAGACACGATTGTATCGATGCAAGTCGGCACGGGTTGCCATGATCCTAACTTCCTCAAACTTTATTATTAAATGTTTTGAGAGCATTCAAACAAAATAAGAGGGTATGCATTAAAAAAATATGACTTTAATTTTTTTGGGACACCTTAATGAAGGCATATGGCAGAATAACAAAACAAACCATGATAAGATTTTTATTGATTTCTTAGTACTTGGTCTCATTAAATTTTCATGAAATTTGGTTCGATTAGTAGTTTTTTGACCACCTGATGGGAAGTGATATTACAGTCTAATAATAGTTATAGCTGTCAGAAGTCGAAACTACTCCTGGTAGCCACCACTATCTTGCCGGCCTCTTAATGAGCCTTTTTTTTTAAAGGACTCAAGGTTATAATAAATTGGAAACACGTGGGTTGAGATACTTTTCCAGATTTTAATAGTACGGCAAAAATAGAATTCGCCGAATTTTTTTGTACGAGATGGTATAGTACAAACAGTCTGGGGATGCCAGCGAACACCGGCACGTGTTAACTAACTTGTTATGGAAAAAGAAGGAGGGATGATGTTGAATAATTCTTCAGAGCACTCTCCGTGATAGAGAAGTGTGTTCTAACACACTGAGTGAGATAATATCAAGCCCCGTTCGCAGTGGTTCAAGATGGTTGGTTAGCACCTCATCGTCTATGATGCGTACTGGTACTGCTCGCCGCTGCAATCTGTCCTGGGTATCCAACAGATACTTTGCGGAGTCATCCCATGCCGATCGTGAATTATAGAGTGATCTTACAAATAGCCTAAGAGTAATAAGTAGTTGTTTCTTAAGTACCGAGATTATAGTGATAGGACGGTAATTCGTGGAATCTGACCGATCTCCTTTTCTGGGAACCGGTTGCACATTAGCATCCTTCTATGGTTATGGGACACAGCCTGATGAATAAGAGGCACGGTAGAGTAATGTTAACTCAGCAGCACACTGTTTCAGTACAATCGTTGAAATACCATGAGGACTTTCTGGGTATTGAGCTTTAGCAACAACCTACGTACATCGAACTGTCATATTTTTGTATCCGGCATCGCGATGCCGAACGGGGTTAAGGTAGGCTTTGTTTTACCATCATCAAGCCAGAAGTTGGACGCAAAGATATTGTAAATTTGCCTTATCCTACGCATCATGGGCCAGTGATCCGTCAAAATATCGCAGCGGTGGCAGTGATGAGCGTCAGAAGTTCGACTGCAAAGCTTTTTTCAGGCTCCAAAACGCTCTATGCTGTCAGTTCTTGGCCCAGGCGTGATACTCGTTGGGCATCAGCTCTCGCGAAGGCTTTCTTACATCTTTTTGTAACTTTATTATAGGCTTAAGAGATCCAAAATTGGGATTCCTACCCGCGTAATGCCATTTTTGGTGTAAGAAGAGGATATTTAACGAGGGCCTGTCGTCCCGGCTGAGAAAGAAACGGTATGGTTTACCGGGTTGTAAATCTAGATAAACGAGTTCAATTAAGCCCCCGGACGTAAGTGCCTCCATACCCTCACGGAACTGGTCGCCTGGACCCAGTCCGGTCACCAACCGGCACAACGATCCAATCCAAGATTATGCTCGGCATGATAGGGCAGCCTCATGTAGTGCTACAATTGGGCCCCTGTAGTATACCGCGGGCGGCCAGCGGAATAACCGTTTCTACAGGTCTCCTAGGCCGGAAACTCAAGATACTGAACCTGTCCAGTAACCCAATGAAAACCCAGTCCCTGTTCCACTGGGAACCGGGGCGAAAGGCTCTTGGACAATCTGGATGTATTACAGCTGATCCCGAAACGCGGTGAATCACTCTGATGGGTTTTTCGCTGAACATATGGTGGTCGCTATCTAGTCGGGTTTTCCCTACCACCAAGCTAAACAGAGAATATTTCTTAGTCGCCTCTTACGACCCCCTAGGAAGATAAGGGCTGCCGTTGTATGTATATATAATTAAAATAAACTTTCTTTCTGTACATGTAATATAACAACAGAATAAGATTAAGAATTTATGGGATCTTTGTAGTAATTTGTAACATATAAACTTTTAAACTTTCGCGTTGCATTATATTAGATTGTATAGGACTTGGGGTATTAACGTCGGGAAATATAGGTAGGTCATAAACCTAACTATCGAAATCTATCGCGTTAATACCCGTCCTATACAATCTATTTGTAACATGTCTTCGCTTAGCTTACTTAGCTTTGGGGTACATGCAATATAAAAAATATACTCTTGCCTATTCGTGTTTCTGTTTTGACGCCTATTTTATTTATTTTGTATTGTACTAACGAATTAAATCAATAGGATTGTAAATATAATATGGAGGGAGAGAAAGTTTATAAAACCTTATAGATTTCTTGATTAGTAAGTTGGCTTACAGATAAAACAATAATACAGTATAAAATAATATAGCCGTATTAGTTATACGTGGTCTCGGGTACCTCAATTGGTTAGAGCAGTCACACGGATTGCGAAAGATTATAGGTTCTAGTACTTGGGACTGGTGAATTTCTAAAGCATTTTTCTTTATGATAAAGATCAATATAGCTTTGAAAATGCAAAAGTGATCAAATGTAACAATAATATACCAGGTTTTATCCATGCGTTGGTGTCCTTGACAATTGTGTATTGTTACATTACAGTTACTATTAATCTAAGTTGAAGCGTTGGCGAAGGCTGAATTACTAATTACTGGATCGTGTGCGGTTATGATGAGGCTATTCGGGTTCTACATTTATATTAGTGCCTTCAAGGTGATACATTGCTGTTTATAATTCAAATGTTCTAACAACAATATGATGTTGATAATTATGCCCTTAATTTGTCATTATACGAGTATTATGCCTATAAGTTTTCCCGCTACTTCACCTACGTTATATAAATTATATGTCGCCTATGTACGTTGTAGCCTCTCGTAGGTGAAAGAACTTTTAAAATCGGTTCTGTTATTTTGGAGCCTATCCAATGCAATCAAATAAACAATCTAATGTTTGCTGTCTAAAATATTAGAAAACCGATATACAACCGAATTTGACACCGAATTTGAGTTAGTCAATCAGATATTTTCCGTATAATGATACTTTTAGAGTTCTTGGAGTGTTAATATGATCTTATTAGTACATCGACAGATTGACAGCATTTTTGTCTTGCATTTGACAAGAGGTTTTATTTTTGGAATTCTTGTAACAATGTGATAAGTTACTCCATTCCAAAGAGTATTGTTGACTGTCACTGAGTCTGTTTCCGTGAACAAGAAAAGTAAGAATTGTTTCAAATCGTTATGTGTCTCGAAAAATTGCCAAAATATTCTGCATTCAATATATTCCTTTAACTAATAAATAAATATTTCTATTTTATATAAGATAAATATCAATTTTAAATTACATTGTATTTGTGAATTAAAATTTTACTTATCATAATAAAATGTTTCTTATGAATTATGAACAGTCATTTATATAGTCGTTTCTCTGCTTTTGGCGTGGTTTAGCGATAACACGATTGTAATGATAGTGCCGGCAATCAAGTCTCGCAGCTAAACGACCGCCATCATGGTTATGATGACAGATGGCCCGGATCAACCGCTCGACGAATCTGAAGGTGTTCCATATAGTTCTTTATTTGCATTCATAATCTGGAAAATTTCCTGATATGTTAGTCTAAGGAGCATCTAAAATAAATTATATAAATGTATCTCTTTATGTGTGTCTCCGTGTTTTTCGAATACTAAAAACAAGATTACAACGATTTTTTTTGTTGTTAATGTTAATATATTTTTACCAGGGTGCAAGTTTATTAAAATGAAGTTTTAATAACTTTCAACACTATTATTTTCCCTGGCTTCGTATGCGTAGATTCGACTGATAGACCAGAAAAATTTTAAAATCAGATTTTTTTACGGAAGGTGAGTCCAGATAGCAGGTAATCGGATTAAAAGCAATTGTATAAATAGTTTTAAATTTTTTCCTAACAATTTTTTTCTTTAATTATTCCTAATGGTTTACTCTTTGATTTACGACTCACTTAGCTTATTTCAAAATTATATCAAAATGTCTATAAAGATTAATTTAGAAGAATACATCAGTATTTCATTTTGATATTACATTAAATAAAATACCTTTGGAACGTATTTAATCGTGTGTAATTTGATTGCGATGTTTTAAGGATCCTTTGCAGGCTCCATGATTACTAGACTGTAAAGAATCCGAAACATCTATAAATACAATGATATCTATAAATTACACGAGCATAAATCCCGTACAATACTTATTTTCCTAAAAATATTATTACAAGTTCTTAAACTTTTGCAGGTAATAATACAAAACTGTATTTTGTAATTCCAATTTCGTGATAGTAGACTCCGAATAAATCTTCAGTTATTTTGGTGCCAGAAGAGATAGTGGAAAATGTAGATATTGATCTCCGTGAATCAGTCATATGGAAATTTTAACGATTATTGTCGAAGAGCGTCGCTTTACCCAATTCAGGGGATAAAGCGGCCGGGTCATATGGTGAATAAGTAGCATTTTGGGAATTCGTTGAATCGACTACTCCTATTGGGTTCAGGAAACAATTGCAATCCCAAAAAATATTATAATTGTAGTGTATTTGTTTATTTAAATTAAATTTACTTTTTGGTTATTTAAATTTACTATACCTATAAATCTGGCTGGCGCTTGGTATTTTAGTTGTCAGCTTAGATTAACTATGTCCCACTATTAGTAGCTTGTTTCATGAATTTAAGTCATTCATAAATTATTACCAATTAGGAGCATTCCACGCGAAGGGGATAGGGAAAAAACTCGATGTTTTCGATTTCAGTTATATTTGAGTATGTACTACCTATAAATATCCTTAATTCGGGTACCAAATATTTTTTGAATATAGTGACTAAGTAGAGAGTTAAGGGACTTTAAAATCTTGACCAACCGGCGGGCATGCAGTACTTAAAAGATAATTACAAAGTCATAAAGTAAAAGATAAAATAATGTAACTACTGTATTTATTACTTAATAATGAGTTTGTGAACTGAATTTTTGAACATGAAATAAATATATAAAAAATGCGATTTAATTTTTAAACTTGATTTCACGAAGTTAGACCATTTCGATTTTTTATCTATAAATACTTAATATTATGTATAACATCCGTTTTATAAAGGGTGGAGAAGTGGATTAGGAGCTAGAGTAGAAATACTGCCGAAGCGCGGCGTCCTGCCTCACGCCTGCCACTTGTATATGCAGCAGCGAGTATGTGGCATACATTATTTCTATGGTAATTTGATATACTATTATATTAAATTCAAAAGGGGGCTTTTCATACACCATTTATTTTTTTATTTATTTATTAACTCTTGTATCTTGCATGAGTTTAGTGAAATATAAATCAATTAAATTAACTTCTGAGGGAATGTTTCGCATATTTGTAAATACTGATCCATTTTTAAATATCTGTTAAATATAAAATACGTCATATTTCCACTTTTGTATGTTTTTTTCATTCAGTAAAATAAAATAATGAATAATAGGTTGCATTGGAAAATATTTCACTTTAGTACCTTAGCTTAACTGTTTAAACGGACGCGTGTAGAGTGTCGCTACTAGAACACTTTGACATCACTCCTTACGGGAATCGATGTTATAATCTATTTTATTTACCCGTACATAGAAAAAGTAAAGACTTAGGGAAATCGTTTTTTAGATAAACAAAATCATCCATCTTTTCCAGGGACATGGTCATAAGAAGCGAGTTATTGCCTAGCCATATAGGCTTATAATCTACAATTTAAAAAATAAGCTTAAAAACTAAAACCCGACTACAGTTATATCACACTCTAAAAAGTTAGAAAGAAGAAATTTATTTTATATGACTACGCTGTCCTTTGGTCATCGTTATTATAATATAGCTATAAAATAATTACTTGTTATCTAATTAATTTTCGGGCGTAGTAAAATCACGAGTAACAGCTACCAATATATATTGTATATATATATATATTTTTTAAATGCGTGAATACATATATATATATATTTGAAAAATGATATATTTTTTTAGTTTCTCACTTTATACTCTCTAGAGGGCGCTGTTGCCAATTTAAAGTAACGTCACTTAGCATATAGCATGCCGATAACTAATACGCTTCTAATGATACCCTATTTGTCCAGTTACGAGTGTAGTTTCGAAGTTATAAGGGAACAGATGAACATTCTTACATACATACCGACCAAAATCAATTATATTTTTCTTTAACTATAAATCCTTATTTTTTACAGTTGGTGGATTCAAAAGTACTTTCTATAACTTTAGTTGAGTAAAGATGATTTTTGTTTTGAAAGTATTATGAAAAAAAGGCGCAAGTAAGAGTGAAGCATTAAAATAGTGAAAAATTGAAAATAAATTTGTTGTTAATTATAAAAAAAATATCAAGGACATGTAGGTAGTACATACTTAAATATTACTGAAATCGGAAACATGGAGTTGTTATACCTGTGCGCTTGACGTGGAATGCCACATTAAGTAATTTCTACGTACACATAATATAATGTTCGGTTCAGTATTAAAATATATTATTAACAGTCATCCATGTATAAGAATTTAGTTTTTTTACGGGATTGGTACCGTGCGCCATGATCACAGAATAACTGGTTACTAGGCACATGGTAACAATCCCGCACAAGAAATGAAAACATTTGTAGGACATTTCAAATTGGCCATTGTTGATTACGTTATTATTGATAGATTGCCTACTTACATAAGGAAAATTTTCTATACAAGTAGTTTAGAGTTTTTAATATAAATTTATTATACATATATTTGGTACTAACGATTACAGGTATAACCGGGATCAACGGTGAAACTTGCTTTGCGAAGCACGGAAAATCTTAAGATAGTCAGTGTTTTAAATAGAACTCGGGTGAGTTTAATAAGATAATTAAGTACCTATATAGCACCGAGCTCATTTATATTTTTAACATTCTAGTCAGTCATCTCATTATTTAGTAGCTGGAAACATATTCTAATTTTATTACAATTCACAACATCATATCAAACATTTTAAACATATCAAAGTTGTGAATTTAGTTCTCACTTTATTAATTCATGTGAGAAGTTTTCACTTACGTTTGCGTAAAATTCACAGGAGTTCGCGAAAACATATGACTCATGCTCGCGATATTCACGAAATGCATTCGTTTGCGAGCGTGAATTAGTCTTCACTTTCACTGGTGAACGCGATTAAAATTCGCAAATACGTTTAGCCAGTGTTCTTAGATGACGCTTTTTTGGTTTCCATAGAAATTCTAAACGCGCTCGCTATCGAGCGTGAAACATAAACGTCAAATAATATGCAAACTAAGCACTCAGAATAGCACTGTAGCCTGTTCCAGGGCAAACTATGAGACGAAAATAAATTTCTACTATGATATTGTAATATTACAATAAAATTACATTGGTGAAGGTACTTTTGATATCGGTACAGTTTTTGAAATAATTAATAAAGGTTTTTAATTTTTAATATTCATTTAAGTTAATGTTAAGTATTTTTTTCTCCAGAAAATCTATGGTAAAAAATAAGATTTACCCACAGTGGAGCGTAGCCGGGTTCAGCTAGTCTAAAAATAGTAATACCATCCTGGATAACATAAACCTCCTTTAATCCGGTAAAGTGCTTCCGATTCACGAGTTATATCGCGGCCCAAGTGTAACAAAAAATAATAAATTCTTTTAGTCCTTGCGAGTTGTCCTTTTTTAAATTAAAAATAACTTAAGTGTGTTAATGCCATTTAAAATAACAACTAAAAAAAGAAAGAAACCAGAAACACTATTCTGGATTCTGTAAGCCTTCGTTTACAGGTTTTATTAAAAAATGTTACTTTGACATAATTTATGGTTATAACATTTTTTTTCTTTTAGTTTAGACTACCAGTTTCCTGGATATCATTCTTTCTCACTCCAAAGTTTTATTGGGTGATTTTTTACAGTCCTTCTCTAAAAAATAATTATTTGAAAAACTTTAAGAAGATCTCATCCCGTCTTATAGTCATTCTATTATCATGGGCGATTTTAATAGATGCTTTCTAAAAGATAATATCCCTTCCAATAGTTTAAAGTTCTTTGTTAATGCGTGTAGCATGTTTATTCTTTCTTTTAATGCTCTTCATTCCCAATTGTACACCATCACTTCTTGATTTAAGCATTGTTTCTTCTATCGATCACGTCTCCAAACATGACGAAATCACTGCTGATGCATTTTCTTGTCACGATTTAATATATCTTTCCTATAAAATTCGTCCCCCAAGGCTAAACCTAAATTTCTTCTGTAGCGTCATTTTGGTAGCATGGATATCGCTCAACTTCATGCTGATGCTGAATTAATTGATTGGTCTGTTAAGGATAATTTTGAGAGTGCTGATGAGCAGATTTGCTTATTCAACGATTTATTGATTCAACTATACAATATTCATGCACATGTATGACCTGTGAAAATTAAACATCTGCCAGCACCTTGGCTGATTGAGGATATTAAATTACTGATGAATAAACGGAATCATGCTAAGGCTAAGTACAAGTCTAACCCTACAATAAATACAGGGCGAAGGGATGCTCAGCGGCGCCACATTCACAAATCTGTAGAAAGCGGTGAACCCGCAGATTTTAGTAATGCTTTCAGCAATGTTGACTTTGACATCTTGCTAGTCTTGCTGAGTTCCCTCAACATATCTTCAACGGTTATTGACTGGTTTCGTAGTTATCTACATGGTCGTCGGCAATGAATACGTATTGGAGATTACGCCTGCTGGTGTTCCTCAAGGTGTCGTGCTTTCTCTTTTATTGTTCGCTATATTTGCAATATTGAATAACAAGAACAATTGGAGAACCTGGGTGACGCTATTAATATTGATTTGGCGTATAGCAACCTGGAGTTCCTCTTTTGGACCGAAAGTCAACCCTGAGAAGACTAAATGTATAATTAATGGTAGTCCTTATTTTGTCTCTAGGTTTGATTTTGGGCAACTGCAGACACTAACTTTAAACGGAACAATGATCCTATTTAGAGACACCGTCCGAAATTAAGGTCTATTTGACAGAAGTTAGTAGATGAATATTTGCTACGGCAGGGGCGTTGCGGCGCTTACGTAATTTCCTACCAATTGCTACCGAAATTACTCTTTCTTGCACAGTCTCTACTCTTACCAATACTTGATTACGCAGATGTTTGCTACCCCGATCTTACAATCGATCTCCTTAATAAACTGGAACGTCTCCAAAATTTTGCAATTAGGTTCATATTAAGTTCATATGAGCATGTATCGAAGTACCGTCGTAGACTAAAATGGATCCCTAGCTGACGTCGTAAAGATTTACACATCCTTTCCCTTCTCTAGTAGGTGCTGTTCAATCCGTTCACACCTATATACCTTAAAGAACGTTTTAAATTTCTATCTGTTACGGATGAGCTTTCCATGCGTTCTTCTGGCAATCTCCGCCTTTATTTCCGTCAAACTTTTCAAAATTTTATAGCCTAACTTTTGTCTTACAATCTATATGGTTATAGAATTCTTTGCCTGAAAACATTAGACGAGCTCAAACGTTACTGTCTTTTAAGACCCTAGTTGTTAAGCATCTTATTTTTGTATCTTATTTATTGTTATTTTCATTATCATTTATGTATTTGTTATATATTAAAATATATATTTATTATTATAATTATAAATTATGTCTCGGGTCTGGTTGTTGTGGTACCTACATTGTCTCAGATACTCCATAATATTAGGGGTCTTTAGCTACTCATCTTGAAATCTGAGTAATGTATGTGATTTTGTCTAATATTTATATTACTTTGCACGTCTGTCTTATAGTTATGTACATATTTTGTGCTTTTTATATATCTGTACGTCAGTTACTTTTAAATGTATTATATATCTGTTAGTTTCTTCCTTATGTCTACGCATACTTAATTTTACTTTGAGCCGCTTATTGGACTTGATTTAAACTGGCCATTTGACAGCAAAACTTCTTATTTTGTTGATAATTTAAATTACCCTCATAGGAATCAAGCAAATCACAATTAAGTGAATGCGTTTTGCATTTATAAAATATTGTAACATTAAATATTAGGTGTTATCGATTGTATAATTAAGTTGTGATGAGTATAATCTAGCACCAGTGTATAAACTTGTGAAGGCGAACTTAGTCTGATAGAGTGATCGGTAATGCATGGTAGGTGTATAATATTGTACTAATGTATACATTGTATTATATTATGAAATAAAGATATTTGAAAACAAAAACGTACAACTTTATGCCGTCATCGCGCTTATCGTTTTTACTAAAAGTCTAAGAGAGAATGCCATTAGCATTAAGTCTGCCTTTTGTACTGTTTACTTTCTGCTCAATAAATATTAAAGTTTGATAAATATTGCAGACCCTTTTCAGAATCCGTGGTTATAGCATGATATATGATTATTCTCAGACAATTGGCAAAGTATCTCCATATTTTTTGAATTACTCAGAAAATAAATTATACATTTATTTATTGAACTAGGTGTTTTCCGCGACGTCGTCCCTTTAAATACTTTCGGAGCCGGTTGTTATACCAGTGCAAACAACAAACAATCAAATCTGTCTTCTTTATGATATTAAAATATATTATATGAAATATGAGTAAACATGACTGAAACAAATTATAATCATGTTAATTAATTAAAGTTGCGAATAGTTATTAACACTATCAGCGTCAACATCCCCCTTTGAAGGGGCTCAGCCCAAATCTCCACGCTGACTCAATGTGAATTGAAGGGTATTGGCGACTGCCAATGCAGCCGGGACCAACAGCTTAACGTGCCTTCCGAATATTGGTCACCCATACCGTAACCGACCTTTGCGAAAGTTGCTTAACAACCACGTTTGCGGGTCGCGGTGCTTATCCACTACGCCACTGAGCTACTTAATATTAATAATAATAAATGATATTTTTGCCCAACCTTTTTGCTATGCGGTAGATATATCGGTCACAGAGTGAACTCGGTCAGGGTCGTGCCTCGCCATATAATAGTGTACGCGTCCGCCATTCGTATTGCATGAATGCAAATCGCTAAAGGACTTCGTGACATCACTCGAGAAGAATGGAATTTATTGAGAACTAAAAGAATTTTCATTTGTGATGAGAGAAAAGCGTTTTGGATTCTAGCTTTTTAGACCGAATTCTTCTGTTTATTATAGACTAGCTATTTTCCCGTGATTTCGCCCGCGTATTATTTTGCTTTTCATAAGTGGAAGAATTTTAAAAACGATTATGTACTTTCGGAGCTTGTTCAATGCAAACAAACGAACAATTAATACATTTTTTTCTTTATAATATTAGATTATATGAAACAAAAATGAAAACCTTTTTATTCTTTTAAATAAATAAATACGAGTGTGTGCTCATTAATTTCTAATTAAAACGTGTTATTCTGGGTCTTATTACTATATTAGATGATGTGTTGCAGTATTATTTAATTCTTGATTACTTTAATCATATTATATAATATATTCTCATGTAAACTTATGGTTCTAGAAGGTCTATACTTTCACTACCAAACAACTATAGTTGTGGTTTAACTCGTCTAGAGAAGATCATAAGTGAGTTTTCTTTACGAATATTTCTGAATCCATTAT